TATTATTATTATTATTATTATTATTATTATTATTATTATTATTATTAGGGTATCATTATGAAGGCTATCGCTATTTATAGCACAAACGTCATGTTTTTTAAAAGAATCCTACGCGTTTTATCCGTAATTTTACATTTAATTTTTCATGTAATCACGTTTACAAAACGTAGACTTCATTAGGGTCTCCACGGAATTTATCTGTTGGATAATTTTACTTGACTTTTAAAACTTAACATGCTTTTGCTCTGAAAATCAATCGCTCTATAATATATATGAAGATCGCTCGAGAAACATCTAGAAACCGTTATACGTCCGAATACAATCGATCAAACGTAACCATAACATACAGGGAACCCAGTTTGAACAGGAAGAATCGAAATTCAAATGTTTTGACTCTAAGGAAATATAACGAAAAGACTGATTATCATAAGTGTATTGCTTTATGTTACTTATTATTGTGATTCAAACTATGGATCTACACTTAAGGTCTTTCTTTTCCGTCTGGGCAGTTTTACTCGAGGAAAGTTATTTCAAGGGTTTTCAAGATGCTTTAAAAAACCCAATTCTAGTCTTCCATGACGCAGAGCCCCACGATTTATACGAGAGGAAACGGATTTTTATAGTTCTCGCTAAAATAATTTCGACCCCCTGCTTATTTACAAGTGAAAAAAACATTTCAAATGTGGCTAATCATTTTTCGAATCGAAATTAAAGTTAACTTAAAATTTAACACACTAAAATCCCCTTACCTAGATCTTGCACAATGTAAGTATGCGCCAAATCTTCACTTTAGAATGGAATTTAACTGCATCTCAAAGAAAAGCTGCTTTTATCCATTGCGTGATAACAATGACTTGAATTAGAACAGGAAATATGTATTTTGCCAAACTGATTAGCATACATTAATATCAATAGATAATAAGAATTTGTATTATCATCTATAAATAAACATGAATTCAAGATTGTAACTGCATATTTATAATTCTATTTAAAATTTTTTTAAGTTGAGAACAAAATACAAATTAAAATTTTTATCGGATGTTAATCGAACCATGGATTGATTTTGTGAAAAACGTGCAATCTAAACCGCAGCCTTTCAAGACATGATTTTTGGCATGGCTTATGCAGGCCGCCTTGAGCCATGATGCGTTGGGAAAACATCTATTGACGTTAGTTTATACTTACACACGTACAGACATAATATCTGAATCGCCTGTTAGTTTACTTCCTTGAAGTACAACTCAAGTACAAAACATATGACGCCAGTTCAAAGTTCAACCTCCCAATTACTGTAAACTCGGTATTTCGACACGGAAGTTTTCAAAAACAGTCGGGCAATTATTGTAAATATCTTTAAGTTCTATGATTGAGTTTCAAATACATTTTGAGTTAAGACAATTTTGGATTTATATTCCAAAGAACTAAACTTTTAATGAAAATGTTGATGTTGTTGTTTCAGTTCGGTACAATAGCTCTGTTACACCCTTCGTGACAACCGTCGTAGTGAGTTCGAACTCAGAGAACAAGCCAGGGCATCCCCTTTCTCAGCTTCAGATATATTTAACGACGACCCTTTCAAAATGCGGATTATTTTTGTTACATGATACTGCTTCAGTTGTTCAGCTACAACCTTAATTAAAGCATAGTTAAGGGAGCGCTATTAACTAACGTTAAAGCTCATATATTGCTATGTAACGGAAGGATTCATTGAAATATTCCGCATCGTTTTGACGTTGGCTTACCTCAGTGAAACAAAGTAAATACAGCAGTACGTAGCCAAAACAATGCTCCTATAGAGCTTCTCTCTAGCCTCATAATAGAAAGTTACATAAAGGACTAAGTATAAATGCCGAAAAAGAATGTCTTGCTTAGTTTTTTTTTTTTTTATCGTGAGTTTGTGTTTTTCCTCATATAAGGTATTTTTTTTTTACAATTTGACAAACTATATATAAAAAACTCGACGTGGAAAAATCAGATAGAAATATTATAAGGAATTTTTTTTTCATTTTTGTACCCAAGATTTGCTACCAAAAAATGACTAGAGTTTTGAAATCCCATATTCACTACATACACCTACTTGTACGAACGTTGCCATACGATATTAGAACATTAGTAATTTGTGAGAAAGGAATACATTAAAAGACAAAAGAAAAAGTTCAGCTTCAGTGATCTTCTTTTGTTTTTTAATATAATTCCTATCCCACTAAATCACTAATGTTCTATTTTCGTATGTCAACGTTCTTGCAAGTAGGTGTATATCACTAGGTTTAGAACTTTTCGTAACGTATTTCCGGGTCCAATCGCTCACGAAAACCGCTAAAATAAAACAAAAATTTTTTTTGTCATTGCTGTAATCTCCAATTGAAAAAATATATAATAACTTTGGACAACAAATCCTGTCCTGAAGAAAGAGTAAGAAGAAGAATCTTAATAGAGCACTGCTTTTCGTTTTGGACCCGTCGTTTTTCCATAAGACTGACGTCACAATCAAAAGCTCTCTCGGTTTCTTTATACATATGTGTGTGTGTGTGTGTTCCTCTAGTTCCTCTATAAATGGTGGTTACTGTATCGTACAAACAGAACTCTTGACATTCTGTTGCATGGCCGTTGGAAGACCTGTTTTACGATTCTGCCTCAACAGATCAAGGATCTAAAGGAAATGAAAAGAAACAAAAATCATGTTTTGCCCCTATGAGATAGTGAGCGTTGTCTAAAACTCACTTGTACTTATTTTGGTCCCTAAGTTCAGTAGCGGATCTAGGGGTGGGTTTTGGGGGTTGCAGCCCCCCCCCCCCCCTGAGAGCCATCGTGATTTATTATTATTATTATTTTCTTTTCATGACAACACCAACAGTATCGCGAGTTTTATTAAAATAGCGGTGCCGAACACATTTCGCTCGCTTTTTTTCTATACGCCGTGTGTGGGACCTGAAACAACCATGCTCGCCTGCAGCAAATAATCATCATAAGACCTACTTCCGTTTGGGAGTCCTGTGCTACTTTCCGGCCAAACAAGTACCTCAATCGATGCTACAACCCCCCCTTCGAAAAAATCCTGAATCCGCCCCTGAAGTTTTCTAATAAAGCTAGACCTTCAAATTTTTTCGACATCCTGAAACAACCACTTGGCTGATCTAAGTCAGGTCATGACTAACTCACAGATCGAAGCCTGAAACAACTTCTGCGCTGATCTAAGTCAGGACACGTCTAACTCACAGATCAGTCGAAAGCCACTCACCGCTAAGCACTCCATAAAGTCTATGGAGTTGGTGTTATCCAAGTCGATTTTTCTCATAATGTCTTGGACTTGTTCTTTAGTGAAGAGAGCTGTTCCAGTCGAGGCCGATGTACTATCGAGAATTTTCTCTAGCTCGAAAAAATCGATGGTCTATGAAAATGGAAAACAAAATGGTGATGAAAGAAGGTAGATAAAATCCTTTTCATCAGACAGACAGACAGACAGACAGACAGACAGACAGACAGACAGACAGACAGACAGATCTTCGGATCGATCTACGTGTAACGTGTCACCTCCATATTCCCCCCTTAATCGTTTTGACAGAACACATACCCCATCTCGGTTAATGTCAGCTTCGACGAATTTCTTCTCCGCGGTAAGAACGGTGGACAGCGGTAACTCTGGAAACTTTTGGGCGATTGCCTGCAAAAAAAAGCAAAAGTCTTTCAAAAAGAGATCTGAGTTTTGCTCCTTCACAGTAAAGCTGTATTCCTTACTTTATGTATAAAAGACGGTACTAGTCAGCTGTAAAGTGTCTGTACAGGAAAAATGAACTATGGTCTTATAACTTAGTCCGTCGAACTTGAGGTCCAGAGTTGTTATGCCCCTCCCCTCCCCTATTCCCTATGAATGGGGACCATAAAATTGCCGGTTAACTCATCCCCCGTCTAAATGCTGAGTCGACTTCAATGAACTTGCATCCATCCAGAGGAAGTGTTGACCTAATTGCATCGTATACAGAAACTAGAACCAACCGCTAGTACTGAGATAAACTTGAATGCAATCACATGCCCCTCGTTGGTCCAATATCAGTCAGAGTTTGTATGGGTAAAATTTGAAAGAACGGGTCTACTCACCGCATACAGTTTTTCAGGGTCTTCAAAGGGATCATTGACCTCATGACTGTTCTGCTGTTCACCAGTTGTCTTTTTACCGCCGCCATCTTTGGCTTTCAAGTCCATTTTAGTCTTTCTCTTGGCGGGTCGTTTTGGTTTGCGCGCTGTAGTGGGTCGCGCTTTTTTACCATCCTGAAGAAAAAAGTATGTATCCATTTGGTAAATAAGGAAGAGAGAGAAAAAAAAGCAGACCAAGAAGCTCAGTGTATTCAAATACTATAGTGGAAATGGTAACAGAATAAAAGCAGCAGAAAGGAAGGAAAGGAAGGAATATGAAGGGAGGAAGAAGGAAGAAAGGAAAAATTTACAGCACAGTCCAAAAGGCTAAGTAAACCAGTAAACAGTAAACTCAGTAAACTACGATCGGTAACTCAGGGGAGAAAGCGTTGCGTGACGACACTGAAAGCGGCTTTGGGGGAGACTAGATAACCTTAGGGGCAAGTCAAAACAATTATCATCTCACGGGATCCGATTAGAGTTGAGTATGATGGTTATATCTGGTACGCACCACCTCTAGAAGTGAAATCCAGGATTTTCACTTCAAATATCTTCAAAACTAAAAGTCAAAACGCGCAGGGATCAGTACCGTTACCGGCCATTACCTAACACAATAAAGTCGGGTCATACTTTGAATCCTTGTTCTATTTAGCATTTACGTATTACTTGTTTTGACCTTGCCCCGTTACTGCGACAATGTGCGTCACTACATCTTTGGATGTACGTTCTTTCCGTGTTCTATGTATATGCATGGATTTAGTTTTACAGGAATCCCAAGCTATGCGTACAATTGGAGAGGTTGGGCTTCCTGTGTTGTTAAGACACAAGTTACAGTACCTTAGAAAGTTCAGCAACCTTTGGTTTGAAACACATATAAAGAAAGAGAAAATCAGTCATTTCAAAGTTTCCTAATGGATACTATATTAAGATAAAATACTTTTAGATGATGAACTTTGTAATTAGATGCCTACAGACCATGATTCCAAAATGTATCAGTGATAAACTTTCCCGTTTACACTGAGGCTTTTAAAAATGTACCTTCAAAACATTATAAAGTCTGGCTTCGTGTTCTGGTAAATTTACAGTGATAACAATTGCTTAACTACTCACAGCCATCGCCCAGCTTTACGACAATACTTTAGCAAAAGAATACTAATGTAATTTTAAAAGCGACATAAACAGTAGTTGACTATGTTTGACAGTATTTATACACTAATACAGGGCTAACGATAGTTGTACGGCGACTCCATTAAAACTGGGGGTATGTATTTTAGTGAAAGTTCAACGCAATTTCTTTACCTGTTTCTTGAGGCTGTCTATCGTATTCATCAAATCATAGTTCTGTCCTTTGAGGGTATTAACCTCTCTATCTTTCTCTCTGAGTTGAGCTTTGAATTCTTCTCTCTCCTTGAGCCCTCTTACGAAGTCTTGTGTCGTCTGGTCGCGAATGATGTCTCCATCGCGATTGAACTCCCCGTCCGCCTGATCTTGCCCTTCCATCTGGTATCTTGGAAATAGTTATGGTACTTCTGGTTCGTGAGCTATGTTAATTCGGTAATTATAACTTACATTAGTTGCTATTAAACAAGCTTATTTGTCGTGTTGCCATCCACGGGTCAGTGAGCCTTTTGTGAGTTACCATACTCTCCCCTCCCCCGTCAGCAAGAAAATGTCGCACATGGATTAAAACAATTTAGTCATAAAATTTTGATAACGATATGTTTTATTTCGTTTTCTCAATTAACTCTATTTTTCAAAGATTTTTTGTAAAAAAAAATGTTAACAAATCCATGCATCAATCCATGTAGAAATTTTTACTTTATTTTTTTTTCAGAATTTTTGAATATAAACTTGGGAGCTTAAAATATAAGTAAAAACCCTTTAAAAAACATAAAAGCAAATCTTATTTTAGGACCCTTTTATTTAGGCATTTATATATCTATTTATTTGTATTTTTTATAAATACTTTATATATTTTGGCGTGGGCTCCCTGTCTTACTGAACGAAAAACCTTACCCCCTCCCCCTAAGGTTCCAATTTGATTAGGAGCCCGCAATACTAGCTATCATTTGATTTCGACACCGTACAAATTCTAAAATGGCTGGGCGTTTGCCAATTGACTTTAGTTCAAAATAACCCACGATTTTACCACGGATTTCCTTCTAATCGGCCAGTCCTTTACATCATGGACTTCCCAGAGGTTTCTCTTCTCTATAACGAGGAAGAATACGCCAAAACTCCTAAAAATCAGAAGGAAATCTTCATCTATGAATGGCTTAGGAACTTGGAAAATGACCTGTCAAACGTCACCAGGGTAAGGACTTATCTCTCTGTTTTTAGCCAGTTTTTGGTACTCTAACCTTTATTTAAAGCCTTTTTGTAAATTTACGATATAAAAGAAACATATAGGAAAGAAAATGATTGACATTTGAATCGAAATATTACGATTCCACAGCCTTGTTTAAGTAAAGTTTGTGAAGCCTTGCATCGCAGTGTAAAATGTAGTGAGACAAACGAAAGTTCGGGGRAAATCCTTTAAGCTTTACTCTTTTAGAACTAAGATTATACTCCCTATGAATACTGATTACGCAAAAGAAGAATAGAGTATGCATATAATGTCATACTACATCCAGTAAGTTATGACATTGATCGTAATATTTGTTTACATGTAACTCTGATCATGATGATGAATATACAGCTAAGATCATGTATTCCTAGGGTATTTAGCATATTTCCTTTTTGAGATAAATCAAGAATATAAGGTGTTATTTTTAAAATTTTTTTATTACTAAATACATGTACTTTATATTTATTTTTTTCTGTAGCCAAAAGTCAAAAGCTGCCAAAAGGAGTTGACGGAGCAACTGACCAAGCAGCTTAATGTATCCCTCGGCCCTCCTACCAGGGAACTACTGGCCAATTGTTTTGCTATAATGTACAGTATTGGGGACACCTTTGCTGTCTTTGAGACTGTCAACAAATGTACTGACATAATCAAAAACAAGGATGAATCTCCAACTTATTTGCCCTTTAAGCTGTAAGTCATAATTATTGTTCTTTTAAAGGGTAAAATATAGGAATATTACAGCATGGCATTCATGTTGATTGTATACTTAACAGAAGAACTTATATCTAGCACCAGATATTCTTTTGCATCTATTAAGATTATGTCTTATTTTGTTGTAGCACTGCTGTTGCTTGCATCGGAGCAATGTTTCAAAAGCTTGGTAGAATGGTAAGGTTTCTCTTGTTATGTATTCTAATGATAGAAGAGGTGTATAACCGAACTCTTTACCTTGGCTATACAGTGTTTTCCCCTTTAAGACCACATGTCATTCTCTAGAGTATCATTTCTTTGTTTAATAGTCACATGCCATTCTCTAGAGTATCATTTCTTTGTTTAATAGTTACTCATAAAAAGACACATATCAATGCAAGTCAAATAAAGAATCTTATTCTCTAGAGAATGACATACTGGTATGGTCTAAAATGGTAAAACTTGATGCCCAAAATGTAAAGAGTTCTATTCTATAGAGGAATGCACTTTAAACAGGCTACAGTACTCACTTTAGTTTTCACATAAACATAGTAATCTTTTCCCTTTTTCCCAAAGAATGATTGAAAGAAATCAATGTATATGTAAAATAGATAAACAAGGCAAAAGCTAGACAGTGATAAAATGAGTGATTGAATTTGAACGAATTTTGTGAATAAACTAATGTATGAATCATCAACTTACAAAGTTACGTTGCTTAATATTCCTCTTATATCCCATACTTTTCAAGATCAGTCAGCTAATCTTTTTAATAACTTACCAATGTTTATAAGGAACTGTACCATCTCAAACCAATTTTCTAATTACACCTTTAAACACTTAATGAATAGGGCAAAGACTTCTTAAATTGTGAATATGCTGTAAATCTCATATATTTCATATAATATATATATATATATGTATATATATTTTTTTCTTATCTTGTAATTGATGATTAGCTCAATTATTTTTGTTATATTTAGAATTTGTCTTACGTTATTTATGTTATGTTATGCAGATGAAGAGCCACCTATGTGGATATGCTGTAATAAAGCCGTTATTATTATTATTATTATTATTATGTAAAATAAATGAAATCATCTCAAATGTTTCTAGGTTGGTGGCTCTTGTCAAGAAACTGTCCAGATCCTCATCAAGGCAATGAAAAACTCAGAGGTATACAATTGTATGAATATTATAATAACATAGAGTTTCTTCGTACACATATGATAATCTGTATGCATTTACAATAACTGAGAAAATAAAAAAATATTAAAACTATAGAAAATAACTGATATGAATTAGAATATTTTTCTTTCAATTTCCTTATTTTCTTTGTTACTAACTATTTCAATATTGTTCAATCAGTCTCAAGGAAAGTGTGAAATACTCTTATGCCTGCAAAGGATTATGGATGGAATTGGACAAATGGGAACTTCAGTCCATAAAGATGTTTATAAAGCTGTTCGTAATTGCATGGCAGATAGATCAATGCCTGTACGATGTGCTGCCACCAAGGTAGGCTGTCACCATAGCTTGTTTCTTTATTCATAATTTATTGTTACCTCTGCTATTGCCATGTTAATTGTCATCAATACCATCAACATACCATCATTATATCGTCATCACAATCTCAGTACCATGCTATCATCATCATCATTATTAATCATCATCATCATCACCATTAAATTCATTGTCATTACTACCATACCATACCTTTATCATTTTCAGAAATTATTGAAATTTCACAATTGAGACTAGCATTAAAGCAGTTAGTGTTTGAAAACCACGAAGTATATCTGGTCTCAAAAATTATTTTGAAATTCTTGTACGTTTATTGAATGGCTCCAAAAATAACTTTAGTTAGAGGTTATGCATCATTTTCATACGCAGCCAGTCCATAAAGGCTTCCACATTCAGAAGACAGCATGCCAGTGTCAAGTTAGGGGTGCTAGTCAAAGAGATTTTTTGGGTTATTGGTGAATGACATTAGACTATCACTAACCTTTATAAGGCTCTAAGGAATTTAAGATGTAAATAAACTTTGTCTTTATTTGTCACTTTAGAGGAACACAGCAACAATACAATATTATACTATATGTAAATATGATAATAACTAACTATCATTATTATTGTACTAAATATGCTATAATTTTCTCTTCCAGTGTGCATTGGGTCTCGTCAAACATGCTACATTCCTCTACACCAGTGAACTAGAAACCATGGTATCAACATCCCTAAAAGCACTTGAAGGTTCTAACTACGATGTCAGGATTTGTGTATCTCTGTTCCTGGGTACACTGATGGCTGCCACCCAACAGCCTCCTTCAGGGGGAAGCAGTAAAGGCAAAAGACTAGTTACATTGGAAGAAGTCTTGTCTTTGATGTCTGGTGGCTTTCTTAGGGGTGGTATCGGCTTCTTGAAGGGCAGTGGTGGGGAACTACTGAAGAGTACAGCTCCTAGAGAAGTTAGAGTAGGAGTAACACAGGTAAATTCTCAATCATTTTTTAGACATTTTAGATCTCTATGAGAAATATACCCATCTGAGTTATCTTTTGTGGTAGCACAGATGGTGTTTAAATGGTACAGCTTGTTACTGACTTTATACTGAAAATAACAGTTATAAAAAGTTAATTAATTGTGTGTTCTTATTGGTCGGGAGTGCATCCATTATGACAAGACACAGCACACTCTCACACTTTCCATTGCATCATTCTTATCCAAAATAATGGCTATAGTAATTTGTATTTTTTTAAAGAATTGAAAAACTTGCTTGCTGTGCTGTGTGTAGTTTTAAAGCATTTGGGCGTTGGCAAAACACATTCATTAAGTTTTTAAAAAGCACTCCACTACACGGCATGCTTCTCCTAACATTTCTCTTGTGTTTATCAACCCCTGTGTGCTTTACTGTGCAGTATTTTACCATTACCTTACTGACCACTTTCTGTCACCTACGAACCACTGTATGGTGCAGATTGTTAACTATTACAGTGCTTTACAACTGCACACAAGTGCTCACAAACATTTTCTATTTCTTCGATAACTGACAATTAAACCTACTGTATTCCCTTGCTTGCCTGGGGAATCAAGGTTGGTTCAGGGGGGGGGGACTGCTTTTATCTATCACATCTGGGATCTTAAGTTTGAATCCTGGACTCATTATCTCATGTGAGCAGTGTTTGTTTGATATCCTGACCTCTTTTGATGTGATAAATTTTCTATGGGTCCTCAGTACATGTATAACACACTCTTTTCTTAATACTTCCATTTCGAGTTCGCCTTTGATCAGTCTTAGGCTTGATTGTGTACAAATGCGTTCTTTTCTTTCATTAAAGCCTATTGTATAGTAAGGAATGTTAATTACAGAACAATATGGGTTGATTGAAATGTCACAGGTTTTGGTTGAATAGCTGAATATTATAACGCACAACCGAGACTAAGACTGAGCAAAGAGAACTTGAAACTGGAGTATTCAGCCCAGAGGCTGTTTTATGATATCGTTCTAAAAATAAAACTTATTGGTTTGCCTTTCAGAGTTATGTGACTCTCTTCAATGAAATGGGAGGCACATGGGTGAGAAAGAATGTTGGTCTTATCCTGACGCATGTCCTTGAACTACTGTCCAACCCCAAGGCCACCAACACTCATGTAGATGCTGTATACTCCAGGCGCTGTGTGTCATTCATCCTACGTGCAGTTCTGGGACGCCTGTTGGATGACTCGTCACAGATGGAAGCAGCAAAGGAAATCTGTACGCTCATTACAAAGAAAATGAACATTGTGAATAGTATTATTAATAGTTACACAGACAGTAACACACCCAGTAGTAATAGTATACAAGGAATGGAAGATGTAATAAACACTCAGCATGTTTTGATATGTGCTCTACAAGAACTTGGGTGTCTAATTCATGGTCTTGGTACATCGGCATTGTCGTTAGTCACAGAAAATATCTTAGACCATGTGTTGTCAGTATTGTTGCACCCAGCTCCGGCAGCACAGCTTGCGGCAGCCTGGTGCCTGAGGTGTGTGACTGTTTCCGTACCCTCACAATTAACACCTACTGTGGATAGGTGTGTTGAACGAATAAATGGGCTCAAGGCATCAGGCGAGGCTGTGGGAGGGTACACTCATGCACTAGCTGCTCTCATTGGTGGAGTGTATCAGTGTCCTCTTGGCATACCCCATGCAAAAGGAAAGGTGAGTGAATAGATGTGTCTTTGAAATCTTGTTGCAGAGCAGCACAATCCTCTAGATATATTTTAAAAAGAAACATTCTTGTTTTGACAAGAGCAAGGCTCGATAGCCAGTGGCTAACAAACCTTTGGCCCTCGTCCATGATCAAACTGGAATTTAGAAGCTGATTTTTGCAGACCCTTGGAGCACAGGAGAGAACCAACTAGAAGCTCTTGTCACATACAACACCAAACACAGTGGGACTCAAACACAGGTGACATTGATGAGAGGCGACCAATCTCACCACTATGCCACCCTTCCCTTTGCTATTTATAAGTTATCTTTCAAAAAGATAATTGCCCTATAACATTATGACGTCACAGCTTGCCTACATGGGCAAGAATGATATGAATTTAGGCGAAATTTTCTTTCGTTCGGGATATTTAGTACAACATTTATCTGTTATCACCTTTCCCCGTCTAATTAACCATTTTTTATTGTGATTTGATTCGTTTTGCTGTTATTTTGCCCCCTCTGACGACCATGATCCTTAGCATTAAAACAATAGATTGTTTTGATGTGACATCGTAGTGTTATAGGGCAATTGAAAGGATTATTCTAACAAAAAATTGATCTTCTATAATGTGTACATATCGGTGCTTGAGTGTTGACTAGGGTTAAAGTTAATCATGGTACAATTATTGGTTGTAATGTAGTTTGTTACATACCATGTGTTATTTTCAGCTTGTTTTTAGTGTGGTGGAAGAGTTGCTGAAGACATCAACTGTCACGCCAAGATTAGCACTACATAAAGCCAAAGCTGGTTGGGTACTGCTTGGAGCACTTATGACCCTAGGTAAGGGACTTTATTCACAATTGTCATCATTGCAATTGTCATCATCATCCTCGTCTTCTGTCACGATCACAAAGAACTTTGTTATTATTTTGTTGAACATTTAATCATAGGCATCTTCTTAATGAACCTCATCATTTATCACGTCAGTATCAACAATACTGTCATCAGCATCACCATAATGGACCTCATCATTATAACTCATCATCACAATAACTCATCATCATCATTATCATTTATCACTGTCATCATCATCATCATCAATAACAAAATCGTCATCAATATCATCTCAATTAACTTCATTATCATTTATCACTGTCATCATCATCATCATCAATAACAAAATCGTCATCAATATCATCTCAATTAACTTCATTATCATTTATCACTGTCATCATTATTGTCATCAATAACAAAATTATCATCACCAGCATCATCATAATGAACTTTATCATTACTTATCACTTTTATCATCACCATCTTCAATTGCCGTCATCAGAATAATCCTCAAACTCATTTATCATTTCTGTTGCTTCCACCATCATAAAGATTTCTATAAATTTCTCCAGGGCCATCCGTGGTGAAGCAGCACCTACCAAAGATGCTTGTTCTGTGGACCAATGCCTTCCCTCAGTCTACCAAGGAATTTGAACAAGAGAAGAACAAGGGAGATTCATTTACATGGCATGTTACTTTTGAGAACAGAGCAGGAGCTCTATGCTGTGAGTCATATTTATACTGTCTCTTTTTTTAACCTTCTATTTGTACCCCAGCCGACCCCAGCCATTGTCAATAAAAGAGGAATCAACAGTGCTGTTGTGAAAAAAGGCATACACACACCACATTACACATTATCCTATTTTCTATACTTATACTGTTTTCAGATCACCTGCTAAAAATGTCCAAATCTTTGTGGTATAACATTATACTACTTCATATTATACATCGCTTTAAGTGGGCTTGATAATATACCCGCTAGTGGTAATAAGGTTATTTAATTGGCAACAAATGCGATTTATTCTTCAGCCATGTCAAGTTTTGTGTCCAACTGTTCTGCGATGGTCACCCCAGATCTCGTCCGTAAGCTGCTTGTTCCTCTGGAGTCTTGTCTATCCATGATGACCAGGTGCGTGTACTTTCTGTCTGTCTGTCTATCCATCCGTCTGTCTGTC